GTCTGGATCCTCGAAGGCGTACGGATCCCGGGTGTTGTCGAGATCCAGGAACTGGCTGTACGGGCCGGACATGATGAAGTTGTTGAGCAGTGTTCTGCGACGGATCTTTGGGAGCTATGAAGGCTTTGAGTTCGGGCGAATTTGGGACACGCAAGGCTGTGAGACTGATGACTGGTCGTGATGTTTGCTCTGGACGAAGAAGAGTCACGATGCCCGCGGAGAGAGAAGTGAAGGGTGTTTGCTAGTCAAGGAGTATCCCAGATACTGGCGTGACTGAATGAAGAGAATGAACTTGATGAAACTGGTAAGAGTGTTTTGAGTGAAAAAAATGATAGTCAGGAAAAGAGGAGTGAAAGTATCGTGACGGGTGGGTGAATGGGGGGGGGGGGGGGGGGGGGTTTTGGGGAAAGGGGGGGGGGGGGGGGTTGTGGGGGGTGGGCCCCGTTTTGCAGGGGCGCCCCGTGACCGCCCTTTAAGGGAGAAAAAATTTAAACAGGCGGGGGCGCGGCGGTTTTAAGAAAGTAAAAAAGGTAATAGGGCCCCGCGGCTTCGTGGGAAACGAGGAGGGGGGGTTTATATGGAAAAGGGGGCGAGGGCGGTTGTTCGGTCGTTCGACCGCCTATTCAGAGGCCGCCCATTAGACGCCTTTAAGCGAGCAAACAATATCAGACGAACGGTCATGCAGCTATTGAAGAATTCGAAAAGTGATTATGAGCCTCGCTCGTCTAGGTCAACACGTGAGTTGAGAAGTTGAGACGACGGGGCGGATCACGGGGTCGGCACGACGATCGTGAGGGACGGAGAGAGGTTTTGAGACTCGTTATGGTAGTTTGGCGGTGTTGGATCACGTGTACCTTGGAAATGGAAGTCAAAGATGCCGCTTCTTGTTTAGTTCTATCAAGAATAGTATGACAATTTCGAGGATAGGGGTAGGTTGCTCGAGGAAACCGAGACTTGTGTCAAGTGTTAGAGGTTGTGAGCCTTGAGCATGTCAAAGACATTTTAGCATGAACATGAGCAACAATTGGAAGTAGGTTGCGAAGCTCGCCTTAAGCATATAGCCATGTTTCCTACAAAGCAAGTGAGTTTCTTCGTCATGTTCTTCCCTCTATAAGTAGTTGACATAGGCCGATGTTGCGCAAATGTCCGGCAGGCCGGTGGACGCGGGGCCGATCAAGGGCGGGAGCCGGCCCCGGTCTCTCTTTGAAATGCCTTGGGGGAAGACAAAGAGACATCGCTGATTCTATAATTCTGAAAGGCATATGTGTTGTGCAATGCAGGTTGAAACCATATTCGAATAGATTGTCATGTAATTATATTCTTCATCTAGATAAGCCGGTTGAATAGACTCTATTATACCAAGCCAAACGCTCCTACTGGATATTCCCGTCGGCCGTTTTGAGGCTCGATCTGTTGTCATGCAATGCAATCCCCCGAAAAACGCCTCAAAAATCATGCTGCTCTGGCTGGCAAGGCTGTGAAGCTTGCCCATATTTTCACCAATGACGCCCCTCTCGAAACGTTCGTAAGCCAAAGTTCTATAGCTTGCTCTTCTGGACGTCCTCCATCTCTTTGAGGATGTAGTCATTAAACTCCTCAGCGTTGTCGAGGTAAAGGTGGTGACCTGATTTGGAAACCTCAATAACCTTTGCTGACCCGTTCTCCCTCCTCTTCTCTTCCTCCGTGCCGTTGAGCAGCGCCTGCAACCTGGCCTGCTTTAGCTTCTCGGCCGCCGCGACGCCACCCTTCTTGTCCATCCAGTCGTTCTCGCCGTACATCATAACGATGGGGATTCCCGTCTCCCTAAGCTTCTCGCCCGTGCTCTTCTCAATGACCTGGCGGCCGACGCCGTCTATCCTGTTGACCATGGGGCTGCGGGCAAAGGCACCCGGGGCGAGGATGTACGGCAGGGCGTACTCGCCGCTGCCGCGCTGGCGGAAGATGGAGAAGGCGTAGTCGTGCAGCGCCTGGGACTCCTCTTGGGGCAGGTGGTTGAAGCGGCGGGATGTCCAGCCGGAAACGAAGCGGGGGCCGAGCGGGCCGGTGAAGCGGACGATGCTGAAGGGGGAGACGTTTGCGTCCCAGAGCCAGACGAGCCAGCCCGGGAGGGGACGCTTGGGTGCGTTGGGCTTGGCGTTTCGGGATGCTGTTGTGGTGGAGGCGTTGCTGGTGACGTCGTTTTGATCCTGTGTGAACTCGTTTTGGAGGGTCGATTCTTCGGGTTCGGGCATGGCTGCGTTGACTGCGTATGGGTCTTCGGGGATTCCCACGGGCGAGGCGAGAATGAGCTTCTTGAGGTGGCCGGGGTACTTGAGCGCGTAGGCGATGGAGAGGTATCCGCCGAGTGAGTGGCCGATGAGGGTGAACTTGTCAATGTTGCGCTTCTTGCGCCACTCCTCGAGGGCGTCGATGAACCAGGCCTCGGCCTCACGAGTCTTGCCCTCCTGGTCCTTGGCAGTGACCTTGAATGGCGGCCTTGTGGAATTGCCCATGCCGAGCATGTCGAGGGCGTAGAGCTTCCATCCCTTGGGTCGGGAAAGGGGCTCAAAGTTCTTGTAGAAGAAGCCGAGGCCGGCGCCGTAGCCGTGGACGATGACGAGATTGTTGTCGACCTCCTCGCCGACGCGCTCGATGGAGTATTCGTTGAGGGCGCGGTTCTTGCCGGAGAGCTCCACCATTTGGGACTTCCATACGCGCTGGCCAAAGGGGTCTGGCTTGGTCGAGTCGAGGGAGGCGTTTTCGCGGGCTTCTTTGAGGTAAGGGATGTGTGACAGGACGTTGCGTTCGGCCATTTGCGGAGTTACACTTGTCCACTGCGGACTTTTTGTTAGCAACGTTACCCCGCGATTTGAAGGACTTTCTTGGATTGCTTACCCATTGATAGACGGCATCTTTGTATCCCAGTGGGAAGTAGGTTCCCGGGGGCCGAGTTGTCGCATTGGGAGCGGCGGGGGGTGCGGCGGCGGCAGCCATTGTTTGGTGGGATCGGCGAGGGACGGAGTCTTCAGAAGAGGCCCGTACGCTAGGTGCGGGAGATTTGACAGTTGCAGAGGACGACGTAATTAGTGAGGAAGCAAGTTTGAGTCGCGACCCGTTCACTAGAGAAGAAGCGGTTTGTTGGTGTATCATGCCGGATGTTGCTGTGGGTGGTGGCGACGGGGGCCAACCGTCTATATACAAAAGTCGCAAAATAAAGTACGGGTAGCGCAAGGCGTCAAATCAGTGTGGCCGCGGGCGGCGGAGGTGTGTGTCCGGAGCGCGGATGTTCTGAAACTTGCGACGACTCATCAGTCAGCAAAGAATGCGGACCGGGGGGCTGCAGTCTATACGGAGCGGGATAGATAATGCAGTTAACGCCGGGTTAGCAATCCTCCCGAGTTCTAGGCAGGTGCAGTAACAAAAGAAGGACGGAGACGCCGTTGTGCAGGGCAGTGGTGACGCGGAGATGTGGCAGAGGGGTGGACAAAAGATGACGGTGGACAGAAAGATGGGAGGGTTCGATGAGAGACAAGCAAGCCAGGTGCCCCGGCCGGAATGTCAACGGCTCCGTAAAAAACCGACAAGCTTGTTGAGCAGTTGAGCGACAGGGGCGTAAGCAGGCAGGGGTCATTGTGTGAGGAACATGAGAAAGACTACTGTGTAGGTGGCACCAAGGGGACAACAACGTGCCCCAGAAGCGGGATGCGGATCGGTTCATGGACTTAGCACTCGGAGTTTGGCGGGTAGAAGAGTGGGGGCAGCTGTTGCATTGAGCCGTGTCGGCGGTAAGAGACAAAACAAGCCTCCGATTTCCCGGTGGACATGTGGCTAAGTTGCTGACTACTAAGTCGTATCTTGGAGAAATTCGTAGTTGGCCCAGTCAGATGATGCTTTCAAGCCTGAAGCCTGAAGCTGACGGTGCAATTTCCCTCCAGGACCTTACGCAATCATAGACACGCTAACTCGATGTAGGCAACAATCTGAATGGAGCTATCAATTAAGACAGCATCGTGGCTGTGGAATCGTGGCCGGATCATGACCATACCTACAACTGTACTCCGTACCCAGCATCTGTCCAGTATATGCTGTCAATATTTGCATAAGACCTGCATGAAGAAAGTAATTGAGTTTAGTTAAAGAAGAGACGAAACTTCCTTCTCTAGCTTGGTGAATATGTTTCAATTCTGAGGCTCAAAACAAAAGCATGGACGAGGAAATATCTTTTCTCTGTGCAGTGTCTCCCACACAATGGGGCATCAATCACAATGCACTCAGGGTCTTTGCGAATTGTGTGGGAAACAGGTGGAAATGCGCCTTTTGCTGACAAGCCAGAGCCGAGCAACCTTGTATTACTCCGTACTCTGTATTCCGCAGGGGCCCTTTACATCCCTGAGCAGCTCATCAGCCTTGGCTCTTCGAGCTTCATATTCAATCAAGCCCTGTCCATCGTGAAATCTTCAACCGATTTGCACGTGTCAAGCTCTCACTGAGATGCGCAGCTCCCCAACAAGCCTTATCGCAATCGCAATCGCTTATCGTAATGGTCCAGACACCCCGCGCTCGGGCCACCCCGCCTCTTTTCCCTATGACGTCCCACTGTCCACACCTGCTGCCAGGCGGAGCGGAATTTCCACCCCCAACCCGCCAGCTGAAGCACACCCGGCTGGCCTGGATTGACATCTGACCACCGACAGATTCCAGTTCCGCCCTTGCTTCTCGAACACCAGCAGAACGCACACACGCAGAAAGCTCTCACCTCCAAAGGGCAGTGCAGCTAAAGCAGCTTTATTTTGCTTGTTGCTCACCCCTTTCTGCACACCTGCGCCCCGTCCACCTGCAGCTTCGCATCTCCATCCCCCGCCCCTCGACCACCGCGCATGTCTGCAGACCGCTGCTGACTGCGGCTGCCGAGGCCCCTCCAATTCTCAATCCTCCGTCCCAAAGCGACCTGACCGCCGCATCACCACTACCGAAAAGCTTGAAATCCCCTCCGAGCGACGACAGGTCTCCCTACCGCAACCATGGCCGACGAGCTTGACTCGCTGGTCAAGGGCGCCCCGCCGCCGGGCAAAGAGCCCAAGGCCGCCGTCGGCACCACCGGCGTCGTTCCCGACTCTGGCAAGCAAGGCGACCCGTTGATCCATACCCCGAGCTCTCCGTCCATGATCTACCTGAACCTCCTCATCCTCGAGGCCTCTCTACGCGCACAGTACCTCGAGCTTCGCGCCCGCCGCCGCCATCACACGTTCTTCTTCACCTTGCTGACCGCATGGATCAGCGGCTTTGGTTACGCTCTCTTCTTCGCCCCGCGTGAGGATGGACGTGGAGTTGGTGGCTCTGTGTACTGGGGCGTCGAAACGTTCGAGAAGATTTGCTTCATGGGAGGTGTCATGACCGCGATACTGGTATGGGCTACAGGAATATGGGAGCGAGGCATCAGGTGGCCACGCCGTTGGTTCGCCATCTCCAACAGAGGCCTTCGAGGTTTCAATTCTAAGCTGGTTATTATCCGACGACCTTGGTGGGCCGAGTTTCTCTCCACCATTGGCTTCTTCCTGACCTACGGACTCTTCTCCCACACCGCCAGCTCGTCCTACCGCTACGTCGAACCATCCATCCTGCGCGAAGTCGAAAAGGAGCTGAGCCTCACCACGGACAGCCACCCAACGCTACCGGTCCTGCTCGAAGACGAAGAAAAAGGAGGTCACGAGGAGGATCTCGCCCCGGGCGGAGATTACGTCAAGCTCCTCCTGCTCGCGAAGCCGTTCACGCCTACATTTAGAGAAAACTGGGAAATCTACCGCACAGAATACTGGGAGAAGGAGAACGAGCGCCGCGCCCTCATCCAGAAGAAGCTCGCAGCACGCGACCGCCAGGTGGCCAAGCAGCGGTGGGGCATGTTCTGGTGGCTGCCGTGGCACCGCATCGACAAGGCCGGCCCGCCGCCCGCGCGCCAGCAGTCGCCCGAGAAGACGACGATGCACCCCCGCGCCGCCGCCATCGAGCGCGAGCATAGACGCCGCGGCAGCACTACCAGCGCCCACCGCCGCAGCTCGACGAGCTCGAGCCGCAGCCTTGCGCCGTCCGTGGCCGCGACGAGCGACGACGGGGATGGTACTGTCAGTAGGAAGGCTAGCACCGGGTCCAATGCGTCGGAGAAGCGGAGGAAGAAGACGTTGACCAAGGCGAAGCGTCCCAATATTGAGTCGAGGTCTGTCACGCCTGATATTTCGTCGCCGTTGGCGAGGGAGGGAAGTATCAGTCGCGGGGATAGCGGTTCCGGTGCCGAGTCTGTGGCGGAGAGGTCGTTGAGGCACTCTTCGTCCAAGGCTAGTATCAGCTCGTCCATCAATTCGGTTCGGGAGAAGCAGCGGAAGGCTAGCGAGTCGTGATTGCATGGGAGAATAATGTACTTTACGAAGCGAAGAAGCGAACAGATGATCAATGAACATGGCATACATGCACTGCTCCAACGGGCTTCTACCCCATTTCCTATTTTTTGGTGTTGGTTGGTTGGTTGGTTGGTGGTGGTGGTGGTGGTGGTGGTGGTGGTGGTGGTGGCAACCTGAGCCTACCTTATGAAGGCCACCTGGATTCATGGATGAAAATGAGGCTTGACCATTTGATCATCTTGTCTGGCCTTATCAACCGCCATCAGTCTGAATCCTCATCGTCGAGGTCGTTCAAATAATTTTATGAGATGATGTGAGCACTGAACCCAGAGACGAACCCAGAGACTGGCTCCTTCCTTGGTTCCTTCCTGGGCCACTCGCGCCTTCCTCACCTCCTCGCTCAAGGTCTTGCCTCATTTCTGTGGCTCTCTCCTTCCCAAACTTACACCATTCGGATCAATTGTCAGGCAGATCGGAAGAACGCGCATTCGTGACTGCTTCGCTCGGCTCGGCTCCGCTCCTGGCCACTCCGGCTCGATACTTCTTTCTCTGAGCTGACCTCTCGATCTTTCATCCTTCCTTTTTTTCCTCTCCCACCATCTCACTTCGTTGTCAGGAAGCATAGCCTCTCAAGGCATTACATTGCCAAAAATTAAAACTCCAGTTCACGATTAACTATGGAATACTCCCTTCCAATTCATCAGGGTCATTGACACGTCTTTGGATGTCCCTCGAAGCATCTCAACGCAGTCTAACTCCAACAGAGCAACCTTGATCTTTCTCGTCAATGACAAGCGATACTCGTCATATGCCACAGTACCTACATTCCCTAAGAACTCTTCCCATGGGAACTCGGCTGGATTCTGAGTTTCTTGCTCTTTCACAAGTCGTCCAGATGTCTACGTACCATGGGGTCACTCAGAGTACATGAGCACGTCCCTGACAACACCGTCCATTCGGTAAGGAATCAACCGTGTCAATCGCCTTCTCCTTTCCCATTCTGACTTGAAGCAGTTGCCAGAGGGCAAGCAGATGACCTTTTCCCCGCTCGCCGCCTCATTCCGCGTCTTCCGTGGAGTTCTCTCGCTTCTTCTCTCACATCTTCCCCCGGACGAAAATCCTCTTTCGCTTCTCTTCTCAATTCTCCTCTGGACGAAGATCATTCTTTCGCTTCCTTTCTCACCTCTTCTCTGGACGAAGGTCTGCTTGTCAGTCCCTAACATCTTCCCACGGATTCCCACGGCGTCTCCTGACAAAGATGGCGATGAGTACTCTCATTGTCCTGCTAGTAGAGTGTTCGTATGGTAAGCATCATGCACTCTATTCCGGTATCTCATCTCTTTTGTCATTACCATTACTCATCTATTTCATGACAGACTGTCAACTATGGACCAATAGCCGTCATCTTATTCGAAGTCATGCCTCTTTGGCATGGGATCGAACCATCCGCATCTGATTTGGACGAGTCCCCGCGCCACGATATGGACCGGGAGAGATCACAAGGAACCTCGCAGGAACCCTCAAGTTTTAGCATTATTATATAGTTTACGAAGCGATGAAATGAGGGTTTGAGGATCAAAATCCCTCCAAGTCGTTATAGAAAACAATCATTCCATGATTTCCCCTGCAAGCGAGTAGAACACATCACACATGTTCATACACCAGCTGTCTGGCTGCGAACAGGGACTTCCACAGAGCTTCACCTCTGAATCCAGCCTACAATGATGCACACCTCGTTTTGCTCATGTTCGCTTTGCCAAAATTGATGATTGAGAAGTCTAAGTGTAAGCACGGCTTTTCAAGAAGCTCCATAGGATAATTGAGGAGCCTTGTTGGCAACTGAAATAATTTTCGTGCACTTGTCTGTTCCTCAGTCTCTTGTGATAATCGCAATAGCTTAGTGTCTCTCGAGAAAGCCCCCTCCCCTCCCCCGCCAAATTATGGCCAACGCCCGGTTCGATTTGGATGCAACGCAACCTCACTTCCGATTATCCTTGCGTAGCTGACCGCCTCTTGTTGTGCTAGCATCTGTCCAGTCAATCCTCATCCACTCAACAAGATGGCACGTGAAGCCCTCCTGAGGCTGTGACGAACCACGGAAAGTAGGTAGCATATCGAGGATGACTGGTTCGCCATGGTGAGCATGTTGACGAGCCCCTTTAGTTGGCTACAAGTTTCCTCCAGGCGCAGCAATCAAGCCAATTAAGTCTTCTGAACTGTCCTTCCTTGGTCGTGTTGCGTGATCATGCATGCATAGCGAATGGCAGGTGCTGCAGTAGTCTAGACCTCTAAGTGCTACATAACAGCTGATTCCCTTCACCCCCGTTGGTTCAAAGACACGTTCTCAAAACACCCCATGGCAAAATGGAGGCAGTCTCAGCGGCGGCCAGCATCGCTGGGCTCCTCTCCGTCGCCGGCCACGTCGTGAATGGTCTCATCAAACTCAATGGTTTCGTCCAGGCTGCAAAGGATATGGACATTCGAACCGAGTCCTTGAATGCCAAAGTTGGGCTTCTCTCTGAGACCTTAGAGGACATAAAGGCTTTGCTCCAGGCCTATGAAAAAAACCTTGCCTCGATTATCGAGACATCTTGGGAGCCGAACATTTCTACACTCCGATCACATCTCGTTCGCTGCGGAAAGGACCTCGACGAATGGTCCAAGTCGTACAAGAGCGTCGGGAAGTCAACATCGAAGCGACGGAAGTTCCTAGACAACATTCAAAACAAGCGCCTTCGGGGCATCTCGGATATGGAAATTAAATTGACGGCTCACCGCTCCCAATTGATTTTTGACCTCAGTGTTTTGAATGCGTGAGTTTCTTAGCCAACCAGACTTCATCAGCTAATCGCCTGGCTCACAGCGCCTCTTCTATGGCAGGGCTGGCGAAGATTGACGCTGTTCAAGAAGGTTTACATCAGCTCACGGAGCTCAGCTTACAATCAAACGCCACGAATGACGAGTCATTGGCATCCGCGGCAGAGGAATCAGCCGTTCAGAACCGAAAATTGAGGGACCATATCTCAACCGCTGCGAGTGATCGACTAAGGCAGCTTGAGAACCAAATCGAAGCGCATCGTTTAGAGACTCGACAGTCGCTCACGGCCATAAGCGACAGTATATATGGCCTGGCAAGCTCAATCAGCAGCTCTATTGAGCAGCTCAGTCAACCGCATTCTCAGACAGGTACACTGAGAAGATTGAGTTACTCTTCTCAAACGGATGGCAGTCACGACGGTGATCTTCAAGACTTCTTGGGTACTACAAAAACATCCAGACCAATAAGGACATTTTGGTCCTGCGGCTCGGCAATTGGAATGGACGACTACTTTGTTGCCGCCCATAACGAGGATTTGGTCCACTGCATATTTTGTCTACAACGCTTCGACATCAACGAATCGCAACAGCAAGCAATGCATGTCGTAAACGTTCACGCACCAGCTACCTGTAATCAGGGAAAGCTCTATATCTCCTTATCAGATTTCAAGTTTCATTTATGCGAATGTCATTCTGCCCAACGTCCATCGCTGGATCACAACGATAAGTCTATAAAGCTCTTTCGTGTTGACACCAGCAAGTCACGAGATAAACGCTCTACAGATCTTGAGGGCTTACCTCAAACTTTGGACCCGCAGCCGACCTCAATGTATGTTGAGAAACAGATATGTCAACTGCTTTCGGAAACCGAGTACGTTGAAAAACGCTCGGGATCGTGCATACATGCATTCAGAGACATGAATCAAGTTATTGAGAGGATTGCTCATCGTGTTTTCTGGGTGCAAGACCCGCCACAGCAGCTAATCCAGGTGCTTTATAAGGCAGCGGTACTAGAAGAGAAGTTGAACGTTAACTTCAATCGGCCATTCCCCCGAAGCTGGGCTCCTATACCAGAAGACATGATCAGAGGGGGTACTAGGTGGACCGGAGAGAGCTTGTGTTCCACCCCACATCATAACCTACGATGGTTCGTCAAAGACACCGCGATTCGCCAAGCAGGATGGCGTAAGCTTGACAGTGAAGAGCAACAATCCTCGTGTACCGAATGTCGGGGCGCTGCAACTTATCGTACCTTTGAAGAGGCAGCGTCACATCTGCAACGGCAGCACTTCAAAATTCCAGGACTTCCGCCTACCAAGGCTGACTTGCGAGCATTTTGTCACCAGTATCAGCCAAACAAATTCAACGGATGGCTCGAATCTCAATGGAGAGACGATCTGGTGCCCCTAGTCGCTAGTTTGAACCACAGGGCGCCAAGCCTACAAAAGATATACCAGTGGAAGTTGGGAATACTCGCCCGGTCGGACCATTTTATCACCATGCTGTGGCACGAAGCTGTTGTTGGCAATTGCAAAAGAATGCTTCTTTCCTCGATCGATGGGGCAGGCAAGTTCCTGACGATCCTCAAGGATGCCTTTCCATGGGACGGCTTAGTACATTCTATACCAGACAATTCGAGCAAGATGGACATTGACGAGGAAGATGAAAACTCATCTTGGACAAGAAGCGACGGTGCGGTGGATTTCAACTTGTCAGAAACGGTATCGAGAGAAGAGGAACGGTCCTATGAACCGCCTCTTGCAAGATTCGTCAATTAGAATGCGACTGACACTGCACAGCCTAGCTTAAGGCTCCTCGGTAAAATTGACAGCCATCTGCTTCTCACCCAACCACTCGTACATCCTCCCAGTTCAATCCCAGGTAATGACCTGCTCTGCCTCAGCATCCGTCGTGAAGTTCCCGCAGAACCCACCGACGTGGACTCCATGCAACCCCGGGAACTCCTGCCGAACAATCTTCCCAGCCAACTCCGTTGTCTCAAGGTCTTGAGCCATGTTACTGCGCCAATATTTGGCACCGTTTTGGCCCATGTTTGCGTTTTCACACATCGATCCCCCGTCATAGCCGAGTTCCAGTTGAGAGGACCGCGGGAGGTGAAGCTGCGTGAGGCTGGGAAGAAGAGAGAGGGGTTTTATAAGATCCTGGTTACGCAATATGCCATTTGGTCAGCAGCACGTGGGAGAATCAACCTTCGAGGGATAAAGCATGGGGAAAAGATGAAGGGAGGTTTACCCGCAGCAAGTTTCCCCGGTTGATGTTTCTATGTTTGAAGTCCTGGGCTGGCGCACCTATATGGAGCCCTTCAATGTGAGGGGTATCTCGAAGTACGCCTATGAGTTTGTGAGTTAGTCAAAAACAGGATTGACATATACATTTCCCGCTCCAAGTACTCACAATCAGTCATCGTGCCCGTCCACTCGACTTCTCCCATATCAAGCTTCCTCAGGCCTTTGAGTCTCCCTGCGGCAGCGAACCAGGCCACATCCCTCTTATGCGCAGCTTCTCCCCAGACAAAATCATCGCGTTTCGCTTCGAGAGAAGCCAGTGAAGGACAAGCGCCGACAATCCACAGCGCATTTATGGTCGAGACAAGGTGCTTCACACCAGGCAACCGTGTCCCGTCCTCGATAAAGGCCCTGCCGATGGCCGCATTCTCGTCGACGCCCCTTACCATCCATTCGATCTTGCTCAAATTCTTCATCTTCCCCATGACGTCGAAAAACAGCGCCGGTAAGGACTTTGGGGGAAGCGTCGATTCCGCGGTTATGGTGTCCCAAGTATCACCCAAGGTCTGCCACCCCATTCCGGTATGGACATATACATCCACCGTCAACTCACAGGCTTCAGCGAGTGCTCTCGGGCACGCCTTGATCTCATTGAGTCTGTCGCGTCCGGGAGTCTTCAGAGCTCGCGGGCGTGGTTGGTGAGCCACGGATGACCCGTGTCGAGCAGGAACTGAGGGACGCGTGGGGTCGCATTGCTGTTGCCTAGCCACGAGGAGATGATGAGTGGGACCTGGAAAAACGTGAGCTCCCAGGCTGACGGGAGGCTTTGGGAAAGGAACATGAGGACGAAGGGGAGGGAAGTTGTGGACAGTACTTTCGTGATATTTTGTTCCGGAGTCGTCTGGAGTTTGTGGTACTGATTCGATCGTTGAGGGCCCGGTTGCTCGAGTCTTGGGCAGCGGTCACGTATACGTCTCGATACGTGTATATGTAGATAAAATATGTTCTGCCTAAACACGAAGTCTAAGTTTGGAGTACGGAAGCACGTTGTTTGAAAAGATCTGGATGACGTCGAAGTCGGGAGCAGATGCATGGAAGTTAGGCAATGAGTACTGTTGGTCGCATCATAAGGCACCACATTAGCCAGGCCAAGCAAGATATGGACACAACCAACAGTTCCCTAGTTGAAACACATGGCCGTTCCACTCGCGATTCGCAAATAAAAGGACGTGAAAGAAGAGGTTCGAAACGCGTGGAATAGAAAAGCACAAATTATTGCATTGGATATCTCAAACACAGTCCGGGTATTGAGGAGGCCGCCTTGCCTTATTCAGTGCTCCGGCTCATTACGTTCCCTCCCGAATCAGAATTCTAACATTGGCATATACCACATCCATCATTTACCAAGTCGCATCGAGCCGCGCTAAGCTTCTCGTCGTACCTAGGTGATGGCTCATAGCCTTCAAAGCCGCGTCGTTAAGGAGCGTAAGGGTATCATAACCACAAAAAAACAAAAATATCCCCCATTAAATATGCAAAATTGCCCAAAAAGTCATGCCCGCCAAATGATGCCAATTACTCATTAGTCTTAAGGAGTGTCGTGAATTCGTTGTAAAGAAGCCAAATCATGAGTCTCTTTCTCATAAAACGCCAAATACGATGTTGGTCAGACCTTGGGAAGGAATGTGCAGAATAGGATGATGAACTTTTACCGCCAATTGTATAAACCCACGAAGAAGAATAATATATAATGTTCAGAAGGATCGAATATGAATTAGAGGAGTAGAAGAACCATGAGCGGCGCTAGTATGGCGAAGATGGTCGAGGTGGCGGGCTTGACTGCTGCGGCTGTGACGGGGCCTGTCGTCGTGGTGCTTGGAGAAGACACAGTCGAGGATGGCGCTGAGGTTTCGGATGGAGAGCCTCCAGCCCCGCCAGTTGCAGTGGATGCTGATCCGGCTGAGGTGGTTGGACCGGCAGACGCGGAATCTGAAAGGCTTGAAGCCGACGGAATCGAGCCGGCACCGCTTGTCGCTGTTCCGGATGGTGCTGATGATACCGAAGATAAAGTTGCCGTGGGGAGTGATGACGCGCTTGCTGGAGAACTCGACTGACTTGGAGCGCTTGACCCGCTAGCGGAACTCGAAGCAATTGAAGTACCTGAGGCACTCGAAGCGCTTGGAGAACCCGAGGAGACGCTTCCGGTCGGAGTAGGAGTTCCAGCAGAAGTCGAGCTTGTCGAAACGGCGGCAGACGTCGCTGTTGAAAAGCTGGAAGTCACGGCAGTGGATCCGGAGCTAATCGTGGCCACAGAGGTCGTGTCAGATGGCGTGGGAGAGATCGAAGGGCTAGAGCTGGATGACGATTGAGAGCTTTCTGCTGTGCTGGCAGTCGAGGATGTAGAAGACGCTGCCACGCTCGTGCTAGGAGACGGCGTGGGAGTGGGAGTAGGTGTAATCGTGGTAGACACCTCAGCAGTGGTGGCTGTGGTTGACCCCGGAATAGGGACGGCCGAAGTATCACTGGAACCGGCCCCCTGGCTTGCTGTCGTGAGTGTAGCCGTGCCGCTTGCTTGACTCTGGGGTGGCAGGATAGTTGCGGAAGACGAAGTCTGCGGTGCCTCGCCGGTGCAGTATACTAGCCACTGCTGGAATTGTGGTTCGATGTAGAGACGCAGAGTCTCCTTCCCGTCATCGGCGTTGTCTATCACGCATTGCCTGCAAGTCTCGAGGTTCATCTGGAAGGCGGAGCCCGCTAAGCAAATCTGAGGGTTTTTGCCCACGGTCTGAACCTCGATATAAACATTGTTGCAATTGTCGAAGCAGATGGCAGGGGCGATCGTAACATCTCGCTTGCCGAAGAAATCACGGCGCTCGTAGGTCTTGCCCTCCTGCTTATGCTTGTAGGCGTGTTTGCCAATCTCAGCAGAGGATGTAGGGTTAGGGGAAGACGTGATCGTGGGTTGGGCGGTCGGAGGATAGTGAGTTAGCTCCGTAGCTGAAGCCCAGTTTCCGGTCGTGATGGTCGTCTTCTTGTGTCCCTTCTTACCCTTCACCTTGGTCACAATGACTTCGTACTCAAAGATGTCAAAAGGAAGACCAAAGGCATTTGGATTCAGGTTGAAGTATCCCTCATTCACTGGATAGTAGCTTGTCTGATTCTCCTTCCAATTTGCTAGAGTGACAGGCGGTGCTGGAATACAGTTCTGCGGGGCACAGATATAATTGTCTGCTGGCGGGTCTGCCCATAGGTTGCAGCCGGCCGGCTTGGGAGGGTTGCAGACGTATCCGGGTTGACAGCCCCACGTCAGGTTGGACTTCGGGTTGTATTCGGCCGCAGAGTTTAATCCGGGAGTATTCGTTGGGGCCGGGCAAGCCGTGATCTCTGTGACCGTTGAAGGTGGCAAGGTAACGGTGACCGGGGGCAACGTTAAGGTCGAAACGACGAAAGATGTTGGCCCTGGCACGATGCTGGTTATTGTCGAACCGTCGCGAGTGATGGTCAATGTCGACGCAGGCGCAGTCTCGACGACCGTAGTCACAATTGTTGAACCAGGCAAAGTCGTCACAGAGGGAGGCAGAGTGACTGTGTTTACTTGAGTGGTGACCAGTGTCAATGTGGTTCCGGGTAAGGTGATTGTCGTTAGCTCGCCTGCAATTGTCGAAACCACAGTCGATCCGGGAAGAGTGATGGTTGCAGGAGGAGGTGTGACGGTGATGACATCTGTGACTCCTGGCAGAGTAATTGTAGATGCTGGCAGGGTGAGAGTCGTGATTTCACCGGCAATCGTAGTGATAACCGTTTCGGGCGGCAGGGTAATCGTCTCAGCGGGACGCGTTACCGTCTCTCCGGGCCCCGTGATAGTGGCGGTCACAGGAATTGTGATGGTTGAAGCAGGCAAGGTGATCGTAACGGCCTCCCCAGAAATCGTCGTCGTAGTTGTGACTGGCGGAAGGGTGACGGTTGAAGCAGGCCGAGTGATCGTCTCACCAGGACGCGTTACCGTCTCTCCGGGCCCCGTGATAGTGGCGGTCACAGGAATGGTGATGGTTGAAGCAGGCAAGGTGATTGTAACGGCCTCCCCAGAAATCGTTGTCGTAGTCGTAACTGGCGGAAGAGTCACTGTTGAAGCAGGCTGAGTAACGGTCTGCGGAGGTGAGGTTTGCGTGACTGTTCGAGTGACTGGATAGGAAGAAACTATCGTTCTCACAGAAGTTTCCACGACAGTCGAGTAAAACGTCTCCCGAATCGTCCTGTCGTTGGTGACGGTTATGGGAATAGTCACTGGATAACTCGTCGACAGAGTGAGAGTTTCGAAGAGAGTCGTTGAGACGAAGACCGTTGTCAGAGAAGTCAAATATTCTGTCTGTTTGTTCGTGACAGTTGCGGTTCTCGTGGCCGTTGCCGTTGCTGTTTGGAATTCCGTGTAAGACGCAGTTATGGTCACTGGTGAAGTGTAAGTAACGAGACTTGTGAAAGTGGACACAGAGTAGGAAGTCTTGGTGATTGTGTGATCAGAGGTAATAGTGTATGGGATGCTTGTCGTATACACAAGGGTCGAGATGATTGTGGTCGTTGAAATCTGAGTAGCCGTCCGAGTCACAGGCTGAGTGATTGTTGCCGTTCGCTCTTTGGTCTCGAAGATCGTGGTTGGTGGCTGTTTCTGAGTCTCTGTAATAGTGTCCGTGATATAGTAGGTCTTCAATGTCGTGTAAGTCGTGGTCACGTATTGAGTTTTGCTTGAGATCACTGTCGTTGGAATGATCTCGGTCGATACAACGGTGGAGACCAAAGTCGAGACGGAAGTATGAATCCGAGTAGCAGTGACCTCTCGCGTCTGCGTGACCTGTTGCGTCTCGATGGATGGAGGGAGTTGGATTGTCTGCTTCTGCGTCTGTACGATTGTGGTAGGAACTGGGACGACTTCCGTGACCTTTGTCGTGCTCGTCTTCCAAATTGTGGTTGTGGTCGTCCGGCAGACTTGCTGAGGAGTTCGCTTCCTGCCATAGCCACCTCCATAAGTTGGGACGGGGGAGGTGGTTGGACCAGGAGCATCTACAGGATCGCAACTGAGGCGAGTTAGCTCATGTAATCCCAGGCTCTACCGCATTGTGTAATAGACGGGGGATGAAATCAATAGCGGGCTCGGAAATGCAGAATCGCAAGCCACGGACCCACGATCCGTATGTTGTATACATTCTGTCTCGGCGCCCTCTCCTCGTCTCTCTTCAACAAGGCGCCTTTGTCGGATAGAGAAGGCGGGACGTTGAAATCGTTGTAGAGGAGATAGAAGAGGATAAGGAGCCGGGTATGGCTTGGTGGGTTGAGAATGTTTGGGATGTACGCGGGAGCTTCCTATACTTACAGAGCCACCGTGGTAGTCACAGGGTAGGAAGAAACCTTCACAATTGTCTTGGTCTCGTAATCTGTCGTAGTGAAGGCTTGCGTGGTGTACACAGTCTCTTTGGAGACGATCGTGAGGCTAATTGAGGTCAGCCAGAATCTAGAGATATCCTTCCTAGGAGTCCTTGGGAGAAGGCAGCTCACGTGGAAACAACCGGCTTCTCAACGGTCAAGGTCGAGATCTGCTTTTCCGTAACAGTCGAGACCTGCTTCTCAGTGACAGTCGAAACCTGCTTCTCGGTGACGGTC